GGCGTTCGCGTCAGAGATCTCGCCTCGGCTAACTGTGTCGCGATCCAACATTTTTGGTGCTAGATCCGTGGGGCAATCGGGAAGATCGTGCTAGGAATTTCCTATAGTCCCCTAAATCTCGTGAGGACGAAGCAGCTCATTTTGCACCGACGCGTTCGATCAGCGAGATCTCGAAGCAGACATGACTCTTCGGAGACTTTAACAAACATGTCGGTTCCGCAAAGGGGGGGGGGGGGGGAAGCGAAAGGGATAGGGAATTCCTCGTTGCGGTTCAGGATGCCCTTCCCGTTCGGCACGTGGAAGAATGCAACGAACGATAAACCGGCACTAGACGTTAAGGTACCGGATGACTTGGGAGATTCGGACCATTGCGCGGTCACGTGGAATATCAAGCGGGTGAAGAGCAACGCCAAACCGACGAAGTTTTTGTACAACTACAAGAAAGCTAATTTTGAAAGACTACGTGAATGCGTTTCAAATATCGACTGGGAGGTGCGGTTCCGTGGGCTGACGATAGAGGAACAATAGACATTTTTGCAGGGCTTTACGGAGGAATGCATCCCCAAGAAGTCCACGAAATCGGTCATGCAACCGGTCCGGTTTACGGGTAAAATCAAAGCTCTCATCAGGGATAAAAAGCGAAAATGGGATACGTTCAAGCGCACGGGAGATGACACGGACTGTGAAGTATATGGGACCATCACTCGGACGTTGAAGCGGGAAATGAGGTCTTCGAGACGGGAGCCGAGAGGAACGGCTGGCTGGCGGTGCTAAGAAGAAACCCAAGGCTTTTTATCGGTATGCTAGTGGTAGGTGTCAACAGTCGATCGGGGCCTCTAACGAACGACAGGCGGAGGGAGTGTCGATTGCAAGTAATAAAGATACGGGCGGGATACTTAACGAGTTCATCGCTTCCGTTTTCACTGTGGAATCCTACAAAGCACCGACTTGGTAGGAGGTGACGTCGGCGGGCATCGAGGATATTTCCATCACCGAGGAGACGATCATGGTACGATAGGGAATTTTAAAGGTGGGCAAGGCGACCGGCTCCGATGGGATTCCCAAGAGAGTCATCGAGGAACTCGCTAGAGAAATATCGGTTCCGCTAAGAATCGTATTCGAAAGCAGCTTTTCGCAGGATGAAGTTCCTAAGGACTGGAGGCTAGCGAGCGTCGTACCGATCTTTAAGAAGGGTGAAAAGAGTCATCCGGGGAATCATAGGCCGGTACGAACGTCCCGGGGAAGTTCATGGAGAGCGTCTTAAGGGACCACTTCTTGGACTTCCTCGAAGGAAACGCGCTCATCCGGGACTCTCATAACGGCTTTAGGAGGAATCGTAATCTTCCCACCGACTCGCTCGGATTCTGCGATCGGGCGACGGAAGAGAGGGACGAGGGGAATCCCGTGGACATCGTCTATTTAGATTTTGCGAAAGCTCTCGATACCGTTCCACACGAGCGGTTGCGGGTTAAACTAGAGGCGCACGGGATCCAAGGTAGGACGAGCGAGTGGATCGGTGACTGGCTGACGGGAAGAGTGCGACGAGTAATGGGTAAACGAGGAAGCGTCGACGGAGGTCGGACGAGCAAGCGGTGTTCCTCGGGGCGAGGTCCGCGGACCGTTTCTGCATTGGGTCTACATAAACAATCTGGATCTAGGCATAGGGGGTATGATAAGTAAATTTGCCGACGATACCAAAATAGGTTTTTCTGTAAGGGGGGAGGCGGATAGGGCTCGAGCCGAGCGAGATTTGAGTCTTTTGGACGAGTGGAGCAAGAAATGGCTCATGAGGTTTAATAAAAGGAAATGAAAAGTTCTCCACGTCGGTCGAAAAAACGGTTGGTCTCTCGACACGTTTGGCGTAGGGTAAACTGGGGGAGGCAAACGGAAAAAGACCTAGGAGTTTCTATCGGCGATGAACTCAAGTTGTCCTCGAGCGACGGTGACCATATGTAACAAGATGCAAGGATTCATTCGTCGTTCGGTTGCATGTAGGAACTCGCGAGTTATTCTTCTGTTGTATGCGGCGCTGATAAGACCCCAGTTGGAACATTGCATCCAGTTACAAATAATAAGCCTACAAATAAGAGTGAATTGTTGGCGCCCGAGGGGGTACAGAGGAGGGCCACAACAACGATAAAGGGAGGTTAAAGGACTTTCGTACGAGAAGCGTTTACAGGCGTTGGGACTGTCCTCGCTCGAGAGAAGGTTAAGGAGGGGTCATCTCACCCAGGCTTTCAACATAATTAAAGGAATAGATCATGCAGAGGTTCTTCCAGTTCGATGGCATTAAGAGAACGAGAGGTAACCGACTCAAGTTGCTTGAACCGCAGGAGCGGCTCAGGTCGAGACAGGACTTCTTTACTTGGAGAGTGGTGAACGTGTGGAATGCGTTAGACGACGACCTAGTAGCTGCCCGTGCCATCACTATTTTTTAAGAAACTAGATGCTTTTATGGACAAGCAAAAAGGGGGGCAATGTTGACGTAAGGCATCAGGCAGTAAGCAGCTAGGATATACTAAAGAAAGAACATACACAAAAATTTAAAAGGCGTAGGCCTTCCCTTAATCTGAGGAACACTCGACCTCGACACGTGTCATCTAAATGGGTGTTATCGCCTCCCGATACCACGAAAACTACATTGATACCCTGAGAACCGTGCCGACTCGTTCCCGAAGTATTCGCAGGCCACTCTATTCCCTACACCGCAGGAGAAGGTGAAGTGAGGCAAGCTTGGACGTGACGTTGCACGGTCGCTCTCATACCCCCACGTCACATTTCACAATTTTCCTAAAATTGCTGGATTGTTGACAAGACCCAGAAAACAATAGCCATAGGCTCATGCGGCAGTCTATCTCACGTAAAGGCTTAGCCTAGCCTATCGACATGCCACGAAGCGTATGAGCACGCTTCGAAAGAGTTAGGCACAGGCTCAACAAGGGCACGGGGGTAGGTTAGCCTATCATCGGCAAGTCTTTGCCTGTTGGAGCCGGATATTCGTCTATAATGTAGGAATGTGGATCTATGGACAGTGCTTTCGCGATGAGTTCTCGCCCTCTCTTGAAGGCATTGACGCCTCTGGTGTTCGACTCGAGGGACATCTCAGGATCATCAGCTCATCGATCATCATTGATTATCAGAAACGTTAATTTCGCCCTTGTCGGTAAGCCCATGAACAATGATTTGGATTCGTAGGGTTGTGTGACATCACCGTGCAAACATTATATTGCAGGAGCCAAAAGAAAAATGGAAGATATGGAAGGGCTCGTCCACACTCATCCTCCAGATACAGATCCTAAAAAAAATCCGTTCCAGAACTTGTTCCCTTTCTAACTCTTGAGCATAGGTTAACTTCAAGAACCATTAACCGATCAGAAAAGAAGTGTTCTGCACACAGCAATGCAGAAACGCACAGTGAGGGACATATGTTTTACGTTATGAGGTAGAAAAACGTATCGTTGTAAAGTACGTTCGTTGAAAGGGCACAGTAGCAAAATAAGGTACACTTGTGTACCTTACTTATCTCTATTCATTTCGGACTTAAGGGCGTTAAAAAACCTGCTCATGAACCTCAATCATCAGCCTCGAAGAGAGCTTTAATAGCACCATCATCCTCATGAAGAGTCTTCTCCAGTTATCATGGTGACAGTAGGTGACAAGACCACTCTGTTTTACAGGGTTAATCTTTCAAGTTCATTGAAATTTGACTGCTCACTTTTCTGAGAGAGAAAACTCATAACCTGTTGGTTCGCACTTTTCTGTTCCCGTACAAAACCGCAGCACTTCAAACTTTCCAGAAACAATGGTTGCCATTGAGACATAATTATACTTTTACCAAATACTGCTTTACAAGTATCACGGTGAGATGAATACAAGGAAATGAAGAAAACTCTTCTCCTAAGGTCCGGTTCGAAAGTTTGGAGGAACATAAAGGCCATCTTATGCCGATTTTGAGATTCGCATCGTGAACCCGAACATCTGCGTCTGCAACGTGCACATGTGACTTTGCTGGGTATGTATTGATACTATCCTCGATATTATCACTCGCAACATTTGAAGAAAATTTCACTTTCCTATCATCCCTTTAATCTTTCGTGAAAGTTTCATCGCGTGACGAAGATTCATCACGTTTGGATACTCGAGAAGAGGAAATCCAGCTCTACTCAAGCTCTGCAAATCCTGCAACTTCTTTCACGTTTCACGTGTTTACGTAACTGAAGGAAAAACGAGGATCTTCAGTTTCGTCTGGGACATCTCACAAGTACTTATCTGCACCAGCCACTAGTTGACTGAATCCTTTCAACAAGGGATTCTGAAGATCAGGAGAGCAATCTCATGATAAAAGGTTATATCCGGTTAAGAAAAATTTTCGACAACTTTCCAATCCTTGCAGAAACTTCTTCCGGCACGAAATCTCTCTTTCCTTGCTTGTTTGGAGCGCGATCCCGCGCGATTCTTACTGTCTCGTGCTGAAGGTGTTTTGCTCCCCATTTATCACGTCGGAGTTGGGTCAGCAGACTATTAGGAAAAAAAAATTCCGCACGAAATCCCAGCTAAACGCTTTTCTCGGTTCAGAGTCGTTTCCTGGTGGACAAGTCGCCTCGCAATCCTTGCGAGAAGGTCTCGACAGTAAACGTGTATTACATCTGTGGATGAGTAGGTGTCGTCGATGAGTCAAAAAAGGGAAGGGGCGTCAACGCTTCCATTTCCTGATCCTCCCATCCGCAATGTTGAGAATGTGTCCAAGGAATAACAAGGTGAATACACACCAAAGCGTTGCGGGAAACAGGAATCGCTTTTGAGTGCATTTAAACGCAATAAAAACGCAATCTCATTCCGCCACGTTCCAGTATGAGCGTGAATAACTTTTGTGAATGGCTTTTTTGAAGGAAAAGAAGAAAAGCGACGAGGACTGAATGGAGTTCATGTCACGTCTGTCACAGCAATCTGATGGGAGACGAGAGTTTCCGTGAAGTTTGAAAAACCCCCTCCCTATAAAAAGCTGAGGACGCCGAGGCTAGAACCCAACAGTCAAGACCAGCATCCCTCAAACATCCATCGGCATCCTCCTATGTCCAACTGCCATAGACCATGGCCAGTACAGTTTCCCTAGTTACTCTGCCTCTGTTCGCCCTCGTCTTCATCTCTCAGGTGGCTCTTCCGGCCCGATGCGAAGTCCTGGACATCTCCGTGCCAGGTCGGTCTGAAACATATTTTCCTCGCCTCATAGTCGGCGCAACGTTGCAGTCGAAACATAACATCGAAGAATCGTTATCTCTTCATTTCCTATTGTTTGGTTCATCTTGATAATTGGAACTTTCATAACATTTAAAATATCAAGCCTTTTTTTTCAAGAAGTGAAAAAAGGCCATGTCTGAGCGGGCGTCCAAGCACCGCTTCCTTTCAACATTTGTGGATGTCTGACGGCTTTTGACCATGACAAATCACAAATTCGATTCATGTAATGGCTGGTCCAGAAATCTTATCCAAGAAAATGTTAATTGTAAAATAAACTATTATTGTGAAGACTGCTGGAGCAGCATAGATCTTGGAGAAAGAGCTTTCAGTCCCCCCCCCCCCCCCCTCCATTGCCTTTGACATCCACCTTCGTTTCCCATATACCGTCTATGACGGAACAACTCTCTCGCTGCGAAAGGCATCTTCAGTCATCCACGGTCCTATCACCTCTTCAAAATGTACGCAGCGAAAGGACTAAAAATCTGGACTGGCTGCTGGACCAGGCTTTGTCCAGCTTGTTTATCGACACGATGATGATTCGAACTGTTGAATCTGCTTTGAACAACTGTCAACCGCGATGTATTTTTTGCAGCTATCTTTTCGATTCGCCCCCGCTCATAGTCATCTGTTGGCGAAGAGAAAAAACTGTAAAAGTTACACTTTGTGAAAAAATAGCCACGAGTCATGAGTCAATTTCCACCACGCAATTGGCAGTATTTTCAGCGTCACATTTGACATTGCAGGCAGCACGGGCGCAGATCGGCAGAAACCGTGGAGCCTCACGCACACGGACGAAGATGAAACCGCGCGGAGGAAGCGTGACACCAACCGGGAATCGAATCTTTTTGGGATTTTGCAGATGATACGCGACAAGAAGAACAGCAGTGAACCCAACGACGGCAACCGCGAGGGAGGACAAAAACACAACAATGGTGGCAAACAAAACGGCCGCAAAAACCGCGACAAAAGTGGCAGCAAAAACCGCGACAAAAATGGCCGCAAAAACCGCGACAAAAATGGCCGCAAATACCGCGACCAAAACGGCCCCAAACCCCGCAACAAAAACAGCGGGAAACAGGACGACCAAAACAGCCGCAAACACCGCGACCAAAATGGCCGCAAGCACGGCGACCAATGACTAATTTAATCGATAAATGAGATTAAAATTTTCCAGTCACCATAAGAGACATCAGTCTTCGCATGAGAAATGTAAGAATGGTGTATTGCAACTGGAAATGCCTCGGGCTTAGAACTTTTCTATCACCCTTCGTATATCTCACTTCAAAGAATAAACCTTGTCGGTGAATCATCGCTAGTTTGTGTTTTTCCAATTGTCCATACCCGAGGGCATCGAAGCCATTTTGAATGTCCAACAAATTACAGATTGAGCGACTATTTTTTTGTGCTGGAGGGTTTGTAGGAGGGAGGAATATTTTCAGCTCTACTTTTAGACTAGCTACATCTTCAAAATGGGTACATGCCCATGCAAAGCAACCAGTGGCTAAGGCTTTGCGTCAGATTCATTTGCTATACGCGAGGCCAGTGTTTCGCAACCGGTGTGCCGCGGCAAAGTCCCGATGTGTCAAGGTAATTTCAGAATTATTGGAAAAAGAAATAACATAACTTTATTATTTTGAAGCAACAACCGACGAACGTCGGTCAAATAAACTAGGGGTTGATGAAAATATTATTCATATTGACATTGTGAAGTTTGGTTTTGTATGCCGCGAGGATCGAGCAAACTCGAAAGTGTGCCGTGAAATAAAAAAAGGTTGAAAAGCAATGCGCTAAGCGATGATGGTGTCCAGAGCGTCTGCATCTCATTCGCGAGGCTTCCTTCGGAGCCGACACCGCTTCTCCGAAAGAGACCTAGGGGTACTCAAGGTAGAGATCGAACTGAAAACGTTTCATGCAGCTCTCAAATAACACTAGTCAAGCCAGAAGCAAGGGAACCACGCGACGCAGACTACAAAGATGAACGAAGGAAAGCTGCGTCGTACCCGCACTGTGAAGGCCTTCTGGAATCCGGGGAAGCCAGCCACGCTCACAACATCGTCCTCCTTCAACGAGACGCTGTCGAGTGAGGAGAGGTGAGGAGAACCAGGGACCCATCCGCGAATCCTTCAACCATGTTTCTCATGTAGCGCCAGCTCCGTTATGGAACAATTATTAATCAACTACACAATATTGCGAAAAATATATAAATTTCGAATTCAGCAGTATACTATAAAGTAATACAATTACTTTCAATGAAAAAAGTGAAATGTTGGAGGAAATTAAACCAGACAAAAAGCAATTCGTTCTCTTCGGCTCTCTAAAAGCGAATCGTCCTTAATGGCAATCGGGTAGTTTCGCCTAGAATCTGGTTCGTTGCCGAATTGTTTAATATTTGGAGGCCACTCCCAATGCCTTACACCGTAGTTGAAGATGAAGTGAGTTAACCTCGGTCGTGGCATTGCAAGGTCGCTCTTGTAGTCCGACGTCACATTTCACAAGTTTCCTGAAATCGACTCTCTGGGTTCGATCAAAAACCCTGAAAGCGATGGCCATAGGGACAATAGGCAGCCAATCCCGATGTCTTCCTAGGCTAAGCCTGTCTACATCCCACGAAAAGCGTTACATGCGTTCTAACAGCAATCAAAGGAGATAAACATATGCATGACATCGGTACCTGCTGGGGTTAGCCCATCATCGACAAGGTTTTGCCGTTGGAGACCCATCGTCGTCTAAAAATTTTGAGTGTGCCTCTGAAACGTCCATTTTCATGACAGATACCGATGACGTTGCCTTACCAAAACCTGATGATCCAAACGATGATGATAAATCCGAACTTTTCATCATGAAATACGGAACTTTTCACGGTCAGAATACTTTTACAGTGCTATCGCGATGAATTCATACACCCTCTCATCCCTTTCAGGGCTGAGTTACGAAATATGCCGCAAAAAAGCATATCAAAATCATGGGGTACTTACGAGGGTCACTCAATATGTTATCTACCTGAATAAGAAAGAAACATCCGAGGGGAAAAATAACACTTTATTTTTCAATGTAGTCACCTTTTAACTCAAC